GAGGAAAGTGGGCATAAAAGTGCATTGTGTCTGGAGTACTTTGAAGGCGATGAAATAAATTTGGAAGAATAAATAAAGAGTTTTTGAAAAAAAAATGGGTCTTACTTTTTAGGCACAGTAGTACCATACAAGTGACAGCAGATATTGCTTTATAGCAAGATATTTGATTCTTAACATTTTAAATAAATATATGATGTAAGAGCATCTGAAAGCAAGCCTGGAAAATTCTTCATCGCAAATCAATTGCACCGAAATTGAAAAAGGGAAACTAGAATTGAATCTTTCTCTTTGTTAAAAATGGGTACGTTATTAAATTTCCCCTCCACTCCATTTCAACATTCCTTTCTTCATTTGGTTTTTTGTCATCTTATTTAGGTTTCAATTGTGGGTCTTCTTTGACGTAGATGTGGACAGAGACTAAAATTTTCAATCATAAAGTTATATTCTCGATATTTTTTTATTCCACGTTTGAGATATAATCTTTTTTTTTTTCGGGATAGGAAAATAGAAATGTTACGTGTATCAAATAATATTAATAAATATACAGGAACGAAATTTAACCTGCTTAATAGTGATTGAAATATTAAATTCAATCTATTTTTTTTTAATTTACTATATTTTATAAATGCAATAACAATTTGTGTTATTCAAGCTCTATTCAAGTAATTACAAACCTAATTTCCTTGTAACTTATTTAATTATGATGAAATATTATTATTGCATTTTGCAAAAATATAATTATTTTTTTAATTTAAATTTAAAAATTAATTTAATTTTCAAGTTATTGAATTCGTTGTGTATACGTATGCTATAAAAATGTAAAACTTCTCATACATCAAAATAAATCTTTGGAAAATAATATTTACTTTCATGGAGAAGCGTTTAAATTGTTTTCAATATTCATGATAAAATAATGTTAGTTGAATAATAATTATAAAGTTAAATTATAATGTTCATGTTGAAAATACGTAAGCAAATTTGGTCTATATGTAGCAATGGGTTTACAATAGATATATTTTAAAAGTGAATTAAATGTTTATTTAATTTTTAATAAATTTATTTCAAAACCTTTTTCCTTTAGTTGCAACAAATATACTAATTAATCATATTGGTTGTTGGCCTATTATAATACATATACAAATGTTATTATAATTGGCCAAAATGTATATTATTACTATATAGTTATATGTGTATTTTTGAACATTGATATATGATGTCCCAAAAAGCCCTCAGACAGCTGATCAAAGATAGAAATTGCCATCTGGTAAGTCCTTTATGATAACTGCTTCGCATTCAGAAAGCAGAAAACTTCCAACAAGCAGCTTGATTATCTATATGAGACTATCTGCACATAAGGTCACAATTGCCGCCGAGGCATCTTGATTTTGAAATTAGTGACTGCGACGAGTGCATCGGTTTTGAACCTGCACCCTAACTTTGCACATTACTAATGATCCACCAATCTGGCAGACAATAAATTAGCAAAGTTTCATGGGGAGCAGGTCTATAACGCAGTTACTACAAGCATTAGATAAGGAAATGTTAACAATTTTTAATAAAAGTATACAGCGCAAGTTAATAATCAATATCCATAATTTTATTTAAATAACTTCATTTTAAAAGAAATAAATTCACTCCTTAATCCAGAAGAACTCTCATTTATTTATTATTCCTTACTCGTTTTCCTCAAGGTCTTAACGTTTGACTCTTAAAATCTATTCCAAGAATATTCTGTGTCTAACAGGCATGTTAAACATTTGAACGGCGCTCTTTATGAAATGCTATAAGACAACCATAAACGACAGGGGGCCTTAACGACTTACCAAAGAGTGCTATTTATTCCAGAGTGGCGCATTGCGCATGTAATAATGGCCCTTAAATGTATGTCCTCCTTATCAAGGAACGGAACTTAAATGTTCGCAGATGAAAGCTACTGAATCATTGAGAGTCAGCATTGGAAACAAGGAATCAACTTCGGTTGATATAGCAGTTTATGAAAACTTCTGGACTTAATCACTCTTTGGGAAATTGCTATGTATGAACACTGATTATTAACAACGCACGTGTCATTTTATTGTTAATAAGTTACATTTATAATTGGGAAATGTTGGAGACTCTTGAAACTATTCACTGTGTGATTATACATTCACGATCAATGCTTAGAGTTAAATATTTTAAAACTTCTTTTTAAATATTTTAAATAAGATAATTATTTTTGTAGATTCTGTATTTTTCATTAGTTTAGTTGTCTCAAGTATATTAATGATATTGGTTGTTGGGCAATTATAATAATTGGTCTAATAATAAAATATTGTTATTTTTGTGTTATCTTTGCGTTTTTACAGGTAATTTCTGGGACATGTTTACTATTATTACTAATTATAAGTAAGTTTACGTTTTGTGTAAATCGTCATGATTTGTTCAATACAATTGATTTTTTGTTTTAGAAATGTTAATAAACATGAACTTAATCAAATTTTCGAACACAGTTCACTTGATTTTAATTAATTTCTCTTATGATGTCTCAAACTTGGAGCCGATTTCTTTAGCTACTGTAAACATGACAAGGTTTATTATAGTTGTAACATCATGTATGTAATATTTGCGATTATAAACATGATGATTTCGTATTCACCAGAGTTATATTGAACCCATCATTGTAAAATGGTCGCCAACGGGCCAGTTATTCAATTCAAATTGAATTTAAGTTTTTTTGTAAATTGCAATGAATTTTATAAGTTACTGGCTAAAAAAAAAAAGGAGATATATTTAGTCATTACTTTATATATATATATATATTAGATATAAAATGCATAAATGCCACAGGTATTTTTTATATTTATTCAGATTGGTAATATGGTATTGCTGTCGTTTAATTTTTTAGTGCAGCAGATTCATCTATTCTATGCAGTTAATTGTGTTGCAATCAGAGTAAGTTTATTCTTTATTCGAAGAATTTTCTTTTTAAAAAAATTATGCAATAATAAAAGGAAGATTAATGAATTATAAAATTGCTGCTTATTCAACATGATGAATACAGCAGAATATATAGTCGGCAAAAAAAAGGACACGTTTTTAGTAACTTTCGTTAGTTATCAGATCTTCACATAAGTGGCATTGTTAGAAATATCTCGAAGGGAACTGACTTATAGTGCAGTTTAGTTGATTAAACGATTAATTAGTATGATTACTAAACCGCTGACATGAAATTTTCCATTACAAAAACCTATACTTTTAGAGCAATCGATTCAGCTCGAGAAAAATAGTATACCCACCAATATTTATGACAAATTTTCCATAAGTTTTAAAATTACAGAATAGGACCCATATCAATATTAAAACCGTTTCAGTCAATAATTGTATAATATGTTACCGTTTTCTTATAAAGAAAGAAATAAACAAAGAAGAAAATTATAAAGAAAAAAAGCTAATAAAAACGGAAAATTTTGCTTGATTTCATTGAAGAACTTAATAATTATAAATCATGATTATTTTATTGCAATTACGCCATTTAGATTGAATATAGTCTTTAATGACCAGATCATGCTATATAATTTCGTTATTTTTTGTAGGCGTTTTATTCTCATGATGATTGATATTTGTTAATTGAAAACAGTTCTTGATTAAGTTTTTTTTATATTAATGCACTCCGACCAAAAGGAGTTTGAAAGCAAATCTAAAAGTTTCAATATTAAAGTGTAGTTTATGAAGCCTTCCTTTCTAATTAAAATATTTAGAACATGAAAATTGTATATTATACGATATATAATAAACTTGATTGTAAGTAATAATATATTTTATAATATTTTGTAGGAATTAATTCTTTAATATATTAAACCTCCAAAATATTTTATAACATATAGCAAATTGATCATTATACGAATTTTATAAAAAAATTTCAGTCTTTTTACAAAGCTAATATTATTTATAAGAATTTTTTTTTTATTTACAATTATCTATTAACAAACGGAAATTCAAAAATAAGAAGAAAAAAAGTGTTACTGGATTCCTAATACTTTTGAATTGCAGAGCAACGACTCACAAAAATGAAAACTGTATATCATTTTTAAATATTATTGAACAAAAATTGTTGAGACATTTTTATCTGTAAAAAAACTATGAAAGGAAATTTTACTTACCCAATGTGAGAACTTCAAATTCTTCCTGAGATTTCCTATAAAAAAAAAATTTATATTAGAAATGTTTTTAAATATACATCTTACAGGAAAAAAAATGAAACAAATTTGACGTGTAAGCTTTTTCTCCTAAATAATCATATTAAAAAATAGAATTATATCATCGATTGTGACACATAGTGAAAATACTTTATATGTTAAGAATCCCAAAGTTGGTTTTATTAAAATTTACAGTCTTGGAATTTGTAAAATTCTAAATAAAAACGACCATAAAATGAAATATTTTTTTTTGAAAGCATTAGGATTATTTCAATTATTTCTTGAATAATATATATTCTGAAAAATATTGCAGATTAATTTCAGTGTTTTAATTATTAAATACGTAGGCATTCTAAAATGTTTTGAGAATTAAAAATACTAAAAAGACTGCATTAAATAATAATAATTCAAAATATTTCTTTAAATGTGAATAGCGTACATAAATTTAAATTAATAGTTTTATTTTCTTTTTTCTCTTTTAATGTAGTAGTATTTTATAAAAATAGTAATCAAAATGAAAGTATATGTTAAAATGTTGTTGTTGTTTGTTGTTTCTTATCCCACTTGGCTGGCCAAGCCCACGAGCCCATATGGACTCATGATTGAAGGGGAAGGAAGCAGCTTCTGTTGTGATGGAGCACCCGTAGGTAGAAGCCTGACTTTTGCTCCGTGACGCTCTTACAGTCAAAGAAGACCGGGACCTACGGCTTAAAGTGGATTCCGAACCACTACAAACATCCATGGCACCGCCGGGATTCGAACCCGAAACCTGTGGCACCGAGCGCCAGAGCGCTAGACACTCGGCCATTCAGGTCCCAAATTTGCCAACGGCACGCAGTTTCCCAGGTGGTCATTTGACCGCGCCCAATGATGCTTAACTTCGGTGATCTAACGAGAACCGGTATATTCAGCATGGTACGGCCGTTGATATGTTAAAATAATCATCATATGTACGTAAAGCATTTATTATTTTGCATTTTCAATACCAAAGGAAAACGTTAGCGAGCATTTTTCCTAGTCAAACTTAAAATCAAAAGTAATTTCACACTTATATCTAAAAGTTTTCTTACGTTAGTACTTGTTTAAAAATGTTTGTTCCATAATTGCTTTTGTACTTTGATGCATCATGCGAAAAATTTTCAAACTTTTCAGACAATCCCTTAAATTATATGACTGATTCTTACTATGAATATATAGTATATATATTGTGTGTCTCTATATGCTTACAACTAAAAAAGAAATTAAATCTAAATCTTCTTGCATACTACTTCCATCTTACCACTACATCACTCTTATAATATTTGCTATAGATTTGTACCAATATCTCTAGATTCAAATTGTGTTAATTATAATACGTTGCATTAAAGAAAATCTTTCAAGGATATCAGCCTATTCATCATCAGAAAACTTCCACCAGGCACTTGATGTATGATTTGAGGTTCTTAACATTTTTGATATAACAGCATCGTCTTTCATCGTTACTTAAAGAGATACGCTGTCAGTATATATTCCCTCCTCCCCCAGTGTGATACTTGAAGCACATTACTGGGTTATTTCGACATCATTTGGTTCAGAGTTATATCAAATCTTTACATGTAATAAATTCGTTTCTGTTTTAAAATAATTCACATGACTCCATGTTTTTAAATAATATGATCATAATGGGACGAATATTTTTAAATTATTCATTTCAATTTGCAGAATTTAAACATGATCTATAATACAAATCATTTTAAATATTTTTAAATTATTCATTTCAATTTGCAGAATTTAAACATGATCTATAATACAAATCATTTTAAATATTTTTAAATTATTCATTTCAAGTTTTAGAATTTAAACATGATCTATGATACAAATTATTTTGCAAAAACTGTAAAACTGAAGAAGGGTTTAAACATTTTATCAAAAGCAATATTAGTTTTCGAAATAAAATTAATAAAAATAATTATTTATTTAAAAATTCATGAACTTCACATATTTAGTATCATTTATTTTGATAATAAAACGTATGATAATCATTTTTAATAAACCTTTGATTAACGAATAGTTGTATTTTTTTTTGCCTGTGCTTTTATCCACGTGCTGTTTACGTTATCTAGTAAATAAAGGTATAGGACATAAGAATAATTTTATTTCTTTTAATAATAGAACAAATATGAAAAAAATTATAGAATAGAACAGTTACTTAAGATTAAAACATTTCCTCTGAAGTAACTATTATGAATGCATCAATGGAAATAAAATGGCAATTTATATTCATCTCATCTGTAATATTAAAGTTATTATCAGTAATATGATTGTTATGATTGGTATAATGAACGCACAACTTTAAGAAGGTGAATCATAAGCAATAAAAGGATCAATACGTCACACCTGTTGTGGGTAAGCAAAACATAGATCATAATAAAAAAATATAGATGGTAGGATTATAATATAAAAGGATTAAAAGTAAAAAAAAAAATTCTACAAATTTAAGTAAGTTCGTAAGTTCAATATTATTCGAAGAAATCTTCAGCACAATTTTCAGCTGGTAGAATAATTGGCAAGCTTGAGGAGAAGCATTGTGTAACAAGAGTAGACCTACAATTTCCAAATTAATAAAAGGGACCTTTCACAAAATTGAAAAACCTTCCAAATCGCATATATTCTTCTTCTTCTTTGGCGCCACAGCCCCATGGTGGGCCAAAGGACGTCTGCCTACTGGAAGATTTCGAGACATAAGATGCTTTATAGTTATATATAGTATACAGTATATATAGTTATTGGTGATCGGCCAAGAAAAACGGATCAAAATTCAAATGGATGACCGATATATCGTTTTTCAGGACTCAGCATCTGCATTCGTCAACGAGACGATAAATGTTATGATTTACTATACGCCAGACAAATTCAAAAAGGATGTCTGTCTCCCGCCGTTTTGAATCATGCATCTTTCTGACAGCTGTCCATCGGTACACCGTTTAGAGTAGCGTCAGTAACACCAAGATTAGACATTTTGGCTATATAATCATATTCTCTTTATAGATGAGAGGCATTGCAGTGCCTCCCGTAATTCTTAATGCTGGTTGATATATCAATAAGGAAATGATTCTATCCTATTTACATTAGACTATCCTATTTACTACATGATTCTATCCTATTTACATTAGACTATCCTTTTTACTACATGATTCTATCCTATTTACCTTAGACTATCCCATTTACTACATGATTCTATCCTATTTACATTAGACTGTTTAGGTGATCCTGATGTAATCATCTAGAAAAAAAAATATGATAAATGGGTTGACTCTCGACAGGGTTTCTCTTACCGAAGATTGCTATTGTCAGCTAGTGACCCTATATCACTTACATCTGCTCTAATGTGATGATGATACAGACTTTAATTTTATGGACGATAACGACAGACCACATCGGTTTCGTTCGGTTGCGGAGTATCAGAATATCAGACTAACGTAGCTAACGAGTATTCTAACTTAAATCTCATAGAATATGAGGGAATGTTTCAGAGAAACGCTTTTTGGGCTATTATATTTCATGGAGAGCACCCAACAATTGCAATAGATACTAATTGAGAAATTATTACCTAACATAAACAACTAGTGTATTAATCTAACGTTAATTTTGGATATATAACATCAAGCAACCGTTATAGTTAAAAGAAGTCATGTATTATGGAATATCTGCTTAATATTTTTCTTATTTTTGGGGGGCGGGGGGTAGAACGCTGGTTAGGTATCCCTTCTTCTTCTTTTTAGATATCCCTTCTTCTTCTTCTTCCTTAGGTATCTTTTTTCTTCTATTTAATTCTACATTGTATGCACTGGATTAATTTTTGCATTAATATGCCTTTTTTTATCTATTAAGTATAAAATGCTGTCTGTATCCAGAATTTTATTTTTTTCCCAGTTCAGTTGTTCAGCAAAAAAGAACTAATCATAGCTTAAGTATTTGAACCGCAATTTTTTTATTAAATGATAGAAGAGATAAAAAGCTAATATACAATGCATAAATAAAAAATAAAACATAAAGGTTGTAACATGGGAATAACTTTGATTATAGGAAAAAGTTTTACACTAAAATGTACTTTAACCTAAACCCCAGTTTTCTCTCACAGGGAGTGCAATCCTTTGATAGGATTTCGAGTTTAGTTTTCAATTAATGCATTATTTATTTTTCTTTTGCATTATAAGACTTTGAAACAAATATATGTGTAATTCTAAACAAAATACTTGCTATAATTTTTTAGCCACAATAATTATAAATGTTGGAAAAGTATTTATATTTGATAAAAAATAGAGCAGACCTTTGATAAAAAAGAGGGATTATAAATACATTAGGAATTTTTTTAATGAGAATTGAATAGGTAAACATTAAAAAACAGGAGTTAAATGCCCATGAAAGCATATTTACTCATTACCAGAATTATCATGGGTACGAATTCCATTAAGATTAAACATTAAATTTGAGAAACAAAAACTTCTGGTATACCCTTTTTTGTATTCCATTATGAATTCTTTGGCTCTCAGAGGATCTTGTTTACTGAACTATGCATTAATCTAAATTTTTTAAACTCGTTTTTAGTTGTTTTAATTGAACTTTTAAAACATAGTAAAAACCGAAATACCTCAGAGATTAAACAAAGTTTTTTTGTGGATCAAACATTTAAAAGCTCTTTGTGGAGTTATGCTTCGTTTAATAGATAAATAAAGTTAAAAAGATTTCAAAAAAATATCCTGGAGATAATGAGTGAGTAAAATGGGGAATACTTCTATAAAATAAAGATTTTTAAATTAAAATTTAAAATATATATATATAATATGCATCTATCTATAACTATTCCATAAATTTTTGTTCATGATCATAAATTTTAAAAAAGAAAGATTTAAGTGATATTTTTTACAATATCATAGCTATTTATATAAAAGTTAATGGCAAGTATATTTCGTTAAACATTTACAATCAGTTCTTAAAAATAGTTATTAATTTATAGATAAAATATGTCTACCAGATTGGCTTATTTGAAAACTTTAAAATTCTTGCAAATGTTTACGTATTTTTTAAATTACATTATATATATTCCTTACAAAATATATATTCTTTAAAATATAAAATGGGATTAATTCCTTAAATTTTTGATATAATGGGCGAAAACAATTTTTACGTTTGTTTAATTGTTATAAAGTTTAAATTTCTTTTAATTTCACATTTTTCAATTCTTTCTATTAGCTCACACTCTCCCTACATATACCTTGTTCAAATATTCAATCGTTAATAAAATACTTTTTGTTCATCCACTCAAGTTCAAATACATTTTTTAAACTTGTAGTGGATGACACTTGATGTTAATACAGTTTTTTCAAATATTAATTTAGTAATTATATTAAATTAATTAATTTTAGGTTTTTTTTTTAGATTTAAGTTGCATGTATCTACCAATAGATGGCGCCAGATGAACTTAAAAAAAATGAATGAAATTTATTTATAAAGGACTTTCTGCAATATTGTGTAAAAAAAAAGTAGGAATTGACTTTAATTTTTTTTATATATATATTAGTTGTTTATTAGGATGGAGGTAAGTTTAGGTCTGAATCCGCTGGTGGAATCTAATGCAGTCCGTGGTTTCAGAAACAAAGGGTCTCGATGTTGATACTGACCACTAGTTTAAAGCTTCTGATCAAGCTGCCTGACATACATCTTCAAAATATTCTCCCTGATTGCAAACAATTGAAGTGAAATTACCCATAAAAGTCATATTAGAATGCGCAGTCTCTTCCTCTGGTGGGCTGTCTATGAGATACCTAAGAGCCAGATCCATAACAACATCCATTTACAAGATTCAATGGCTGGATTTATCACAAGATCAATTTATGTTCATAAAAAAAATTCCGATTACCAATTCAAAAGAAATGAATTTATATG